GCCGGGCCGGGGGCAGCCCGGCCTCGCCGGGCCGCGTTACGGTCTTGCGGTCGCCCCAGGGCCGGGACGCGCCGCGGGTCGCATTTGCCCGAAGCCCTGCCCGGCCTTCCCCTGGCCGCTAGACCAGCGGCCTCTCGCAGCCTTGGCTCTCTGTAGGGTAGCCGCGGTGCCAGCAGGTGACAGAGGTGTGAAAAGGAGAGTTTGTTCGTTTATAAATAAACGCGCCTGGCTTTTCCCCCAGTGTACTCTGAGAATTTGCTAGCGTGCTTAGGTTTGTACAAGGTTTGCCCGTCTTCTTAAAGTTCAGGCATCTGAGTATCAGGCAGTTATCGCACATTTCACTGGTATGAATGCTGTCTGTGGCAAATGTCCTTGCAAAAGTCTCTTCTCCTCAGCTGCTCTTTCACTACTGTTGAAAGCTGTATTTGCATTGGTAGGAAGCTAGATCTCTGGAAAGTAATCGTCCTGGAAATATTTAGACACCTTGTGCTGTAGGCTGTGGCAGCATCTCTGAAAAATACTGGGCTGCTAAATTTCAGGTCAAGTCTCCTTGCTCATATTGAAGCAGTATGGCTTAGCTGCAGTGATTTCGGATCAGGAGTCAGATGGGCTTGTTGTCTGCAGGGTGAATGGATGTTGTAACGCAAAGGCCCAGAGTTTACAACAGACTCTTCTGCTGCAATTCATGATTTGAGTCTAAGAATGCTCCTCGTCTCTTGATCCTACTTGATTCTTCCAGTTCCCAACATGTGGATCTTCCCAGATAATCAGAAGGAGCCTCTGTTTCAAGGTGCTCGCTAACGAAGGATAAATAGGCAGACAGATGAGGTCTGGGGAACATTGTTATCGGTTGTGTATTCATTTTAGATCAGTTCATTGCAGGCAGTAAATTGCAGGTTTACTGTAGAAGGAGGGGCCCTGCAGGTGGCCTTGCAGAGGTTTAAGATGACCAGTGTAGAAGTGATAGTGGAGAAATTATTGGTCTGGGAATGCTGTCAAAGCAGAGGGGACAAATTGACCACATGGGGCTGAGTAGAAGGGAGCTGAGTTGCTTGGGATTTCGAATGTGGTCAGAGGAACCTGAAGTTTGAGACAGGAAAGACGGAGGGAGTGAAAGGGGAGACTGATGTGGTGGATGAGAAAAAAACCACTTGAGAATCTTTGTGAAGGCTGTGAGGGACTTTTACATGTGGTTAGGAGAGACGGTTTTTGCAGTAGTTGGGGACAGGCTATAACAAGAGCCAGGCTGTGTAGGAGATTTGTGTCCAAGGCAAAGGCTGGCTTCTAGAGGTGCCAAAGAGGGAGCGTTGGCAGCATTTGATATAGCCTAAATGTGCAGGACAAGGAAGTGGCAGGAATTAAGAGCAGTCTGGAGTGACACTGATGTTGTTACTTGTGGCAAGAAAAGCCACAAGCAAGATGGGAGTCCAGCCTTGGCCTTGTAAACTTGGCCACTTGTTTGTAAGCATCCAGGCTGTGAGCTTTGCTGGAGAATGTGAAGATACTGCTGAAGTGCTCAAGCTTCTTTTGTGATTGCTGCCCTGTTAGGGGTCAGCAGGAGGTGGGTTTGATTCCCCTCTTTCCTCATGTGCACCACTTAAGATTGAAGGGAGCTGCCAAGCCATGCTGCAGAACGCTGTTCTTTGGGTTGAGGATTTGACTGATGCCCCTTCAGCCATAGCTGACAGCTCCCCGAGTCGAATGTAAGATCTTGTCATACCTTTGGAACTTACTGTATAAACTCAAAGTTACATCTTTTGAAAGAGGAGAATGTGACTGAATGAGTAGCTGAATAAAGTTATAACTTTGCTCTCCCTTTTCTTCCAGATACCTTCTTGAACAGCGAGATGTGGAAATTAATGTCCGTGATAAATGGGACAGTACACCTCTGTGAGTCCTGCAGCCTAGAGCGCTGGCTGGGCGGGAGGGGAGGGCTTTCAGAGCTCTTTTGCTCTCTCTGCATCAGCAGCTAGGAGCACTGTTACAAAATGCCTCAGGTTCTGCTTTTTGGGAGATTTCATATGCCTGCGGGTGCTGTGCTAAATATGTCTTTGTCTCCCCATCTGACTGATGCTTGCTGTAGTAGTGCTCAGAAGAGTGGTTAATTTTGTGACCAAATTACCTGGATTAAGCAGTCTGTTCTTGGCCTGATTAGGCTTTTCCCCCCTCAAAGTCTATGGCATTCTAGCATGTCTTTTCAGGTGAAGGCTTTGCTTGGTGAAATGCAAAGTGACTGTGGGATCACAGTCTGTCTGGCAAGGCTGTAAACATGCAGTAGGTAGTGAGGAATCCCCATGCTGGTGCAGAGGAGAGTGGTGTGAGCTTTTTTCTCCCCACATACCAATTCCAAAGTGCATTTAGATATCTGCAATGTATTTAGAGTATGGAATAACTTCCCAAAGTAAAGGTTGACTGATATTTGCCTGCTGCAGTGCACGTTACAGGATTCTCCTAGTTTGTAGAACAATTTGAGGTCCTTGTGAAAGAGAATCATGAAAGGCTTAGATTGTGAAAGAGAAAGTGAAACTCATCGTAAGTAAGACTTTGAGGGGTGGATTTGCTGTACATCTGGTGTGGGTGCTGTTCCCTCATCGTTATAGTGTGCAGCAGTCACACTGATAACAGAAGGAGTAAGGAGTGTTTTGGAGAATTTGGTGGAATTGCCGAGTGCCCATGAAATGAACTCCATTAAAATGAGGATGGATTCAGCAGCTGGTGGTACAACAGAAGATGCTGAACCCAGATTGGGACCTTGAGGCCTCCTTGCAGGACAGCAGTGCCTCGGAGTCCTGGGAACAGATCCTGCTTAGTCTATTGCTGGGGTCAGACTTCTGTGCTATTCGGTAGCAATTCCTCACTCCTGTGAAGGATTCATCTTCTAAGCTTCTCAGGGATGGCTCAGTGCTGAGGTCTGCATGCTGTGGTGTGCCCAAACACTGAATTTTGCTTCCTACCGTATCTCTAATTTTCTTTCTCTTGTTATTGTCAGGTATTATGCTTGCCTCTGTGGACATGAGGAGCTTGTACGCTATCTTCTAGCCAATGGTGAGCAAAAGTGTCCTGGTTATGGGTGCAATAGCTTTCTCCATACTGCTCCATAGGGATTGTATATCCTTCTAGCTGTCCCTCGTGGAAATTTCTTCTGTTACAACCAACCATCTGATCAGCGATCTCAGGCTGCAGTGGGAGCCCTGGACACACTTTCATGGTCCCTTTTGCAGGCCATTTGCTGCTTGAATTTGCTACAGGGAAGCTTTCTGTGATGGCTCAAAGCAGCATGACTTTCTGAAATCACAGCTGATGTTTTGCGAGGGTGCGTTGCTGTTGGGAGTATGCTGATGTAAGAATTGTGCTTCATCTGAAGAACTGTCTGTGTAAAACTTTCTTGTACTTTTCTGATAGCCTTGTTTTGTAAACAGGACTTAAAGGTGAAATGCAAGGGCTTTTACTAACCTCAAACAAAGCAAGACAAACTCTCCAGGCAAAGTGCCTGCCCAGCACCCAAATTCCCTTAGGTAGTGGTGATGTTCTGTGTTCTGGCAGAGGAATCAGAGTGCAGAGTCAAATCTCAAAAGGTTTGTCTCGTCCACTGCATTCAGAGCATCTTAATCAACCACTTGATTGTGTAATTCTAAAATAGCAAAATGCAAGTGCCTTCCAAATTTCCAGCGGAATCTAACTAAAGAGGCATCTCTTGCCTTGTGAAAGGCAGAAATGCTTTTTAGGAGGAGCTGTTAAAAGTCCAATAAGCGATCGTACTCTTTGTACAGTGAGATTCTTCTTCCCAGAACACTGCTGGAGTCATGCTGAGAGACTTATTACCAGGGTCAGTTTAAATGAGTCATGACTTCTTCAGAAAGGGATTTTGTTATGGGAGAACAGCTTTAGGTTATACACATGTAAGGGGAGCTCAGTTTTTGTAAATATGCTCAGTAGCATAGGGGATCACAGTGAAACGTGTTACCAGCCAAAAGTCATACTCGTTTAGCGACCATCTGGGGACACTTGAGAAAGATGTAACTCTGCCTGCTGGCATGTACCTGTGATCATTTTGCAGGAGCGAAATGTGAGGCAAACACTTTCGATGGGGAACGTTGTTTGTATGGAGCTTTGAGTGATGCCATCCGACGTCTGCTGAAGGAGTACAAACAGATCACGGCAAAGTGCATGAAGAGAGACTACTATGATGTCTTCCTACAGCGGTAAGCAGATGAGGCAGCTCCAGGTGCAATACATTCTGTCATCCTTAGCTGTTAACCTGGATATTCAAGCTCTCTGTTAAGGGCAGATTTGAAAGGCAACTGATCAGTACCCTGTCTCGTTCCTGGGCATGTAGAGCTTCCTAAGGGATGTTCCTTTGTGCCCTAAGGGATGACTTCCAGGTATGTGTGCATTTAAAACATAGCCTCCAGTGACTTGGGTACAGACTCCAGAGTCAACAGAAAGCTGGTCTTTATAATGCAGAAGCATTAGACTGTCATCCTTGACTGTCAAACCAAAATCAGATCACTAAAACCACATCAGCGATTTAGGATAATATGTCAACTGAAATTAAGTTTCAGGCCTGAAGTGCTGTAGCCCACGAGCTGAGGTTTCCAGCAGTGATAATAGGTGTCTCATTTCTGAGATAGAGCCCCTTAAGAAGCCTCAAACTGACTTACAGGGACAGCGCTCAGTTCTTTCTTTTTGTTCATTAAAATGTAAGATGTTTCTGAAAGTTGCCTGTCACACCTTGTAGTCTTAGCATAGAGCTTGAGAAGAAGCCTAACTTGTTCTAGGAGTAGAGGAATAGTGTCAATCTCTTCTTGCTGTTTTTCTACCCTGGTGGTTCTGATGTTATTATACAGACTTGTTGGTTTGTGTTTTTTTTTCCCATTGGACTGAGTTAAAACAAACAAACAAGGTTGCAGCATCTGTATCTTCAAAATTGGAGAGCAAATAAGTCCTAGAAAGATCTGACCATCTTCCCATTACTACAGAGTCCTAATTTCTGAAGCTATGGGGAAAGAGGGGAGGAAGGAAACTCATTTATCTGAGTAAAATCAGATTCTGCCTTTCAGGGAAGTAGAATTTTGCAGGGTGATTTATCACTCTCCTAGTGAGTTTGTGGCTCAGATGGTGCAGGGTTGAGCGCACTTGAAAACTAAAATGTGCTGTTTTCCACTTCTCATTCCAAACAGATCTTGCACTAAAATTGAAACAAAGGGCAACAGTAGGGGGCTTCTGTTTTGTTTTGGGCAAGACACTAGTAGGAAGGATGTTCTAGTGCCAGGAGATTGAGATCAGCATTCAAGACCCTGCTCTGACATAATCTCATTGTGTGACCCCACACCTTTCTGTGCACCAGTCCTGCTCTCTAGAAGGAGTATAATGCCTGATGTCTGCCTGATTTGACCTCTTGGGCATGTTTGTGAGGATACATACGCAAGGGGTGATGGGCATTAGGAAACACTGGTGATGGTTGCAGTAAACCCTCGAAGTAGCGATCTCGGTTTTTTTCCTTTTAAAGAATGAGGGTATGGGCATGCAATCATAAACGGGGCTTCATTTCTGATGTGGTAATTGCTTGCATTTCATGCCTGTAACATCCTTTCTTCTTCTGAGGGTGGGTGACATCAAGTCCTCTCCAATTTGCTGCATGGTTAAAGCGTGCACACTGACAGTGCCCAGAGAGCAGGAAAGTTGCACCTTACTTTGTAGTGGGGTAATTCTTTTTGTAAGCGTGTGCTTCTGGAGGGCTTTTTGTCATCTGACAATTTAAAAGCAGGATTAACCTTTAGAGATGCGTTTGGAGGCAACTAGTTCCTCTTTAAAATCTGTTCCCTGTGTTCAGGGGTTCACCTCAGTCAGGAAGGTTTCATTCTCCAGCCTTCCTCTTGCACTAATGAAACTTCTTTGAGTCATTGCAGGGAGTGAGAGATCCCAGTCTAGTATGTGACTAGTATGTACTAGTATGTACTAGTATGTACTAGGCTGGTAAGCCCCCGTGCTGGCCTTCTAACTGGGCAGAGTACCAGCCCCCGTGCTGGCCTTCTAACTGGGCAGGGAGAGACTGCAATGTCCAGAGGTATTTGTTCATTTAGACCTAATTGTACCATGTCCCCCACTAGCTTTACTCCATTTTCTCCTTTCTCATTCTGCAATGAATTTCCCCTCTCTTTGTTCCTTACAGGTTGCTGGAGCAGGGTTACCAAAGCGACATTGTTTTCATTGTTCATGGCAAATCCTTCTGTGCTCACCGCTGCATTCTCAGTGCTCGCAGCGCCTACTTTGCGGAAATGTTTGAGACCAAATGGAAGGGGAAGAACATGATAGTGTTGAAGCATCCACTGGTGAGCGAGGCTGTGCTTCCAGCTCTTTCCTTTCTTTTCCTGTTTCATCTGGGTGAGAAAAGTGAGTCTTTTCTCAGGAAAGACAGTTTGAGGGTTAACTTCCACAGCGAATAGCTCCTGGAGCTCACAATGACCCTAGTCAAGGAGAGGGGCTCGTGGAGGCACTTTATGCAATAAAATAGCATCTTATTCGGATAACAAAAGGCTGTAGACTGTGTACTTCCCCTTTGTTCCCTCTGTCATGGGCTCAAACATACCTTAATTAATTGCAGTAGCAGGTAGCTGTTACCATCTGCCAACTGCATCACGATTCCTCTGTGTGATGAGTTGAGTCTGTCTAATTCCTGGTGGACAGGTGGTCTGTGGTGAAGACATCACCTCCATAATTGGCACTAATTGAGTCCCTTTTGTTGCCTTTGCAGCAAGAACTAAATAGGCCATAAGTGCATTCCATCCATTAATCACCAATACTCTGGCATACGTTTCTATAGCTTGATTGTGGCTGTGCAAAACCTCTCGTGACAAACATACTTCCAGTTTCTCAGGACATTGCTTAATGTCTCTCCTTTCTCTTTGTACAAGAACATGGCTTTCCTCTCAAATTAAGAAGAGATGGAAATGTTTGTGACCAGTGAAAGACTGGATTTTACAGAGCCTGTATTACAACTGTGTCTTTGGAGCACCTCCATTAGTCAGGTCCTGTCCCCCTAGGCACATGGATTAGTATCAGTTGATACATTTAAAGAGCTGCATAAGCCAGGTGGAGTGGCAGCATTAGTTAGGCGAGGAGCAAGGAAATCAGGTGCAGTGTGTGAGTTGCTATTTAAGTGGGGTTTTTTTCGACTTGTTCAGGATCATGTTTGTGTTCAGGCAAGTTTCAAGCTTGTTACTAAGTTCCTGGCAATTCTAAAGGTAACTTTCTCATGTCTTATTTTAGATTAATCCAGCAGCCTTTGGCTCTCTTCTGCAGTATCTATACACAGGTAAATGACTTACTGTCTAGTGTATGTATTCATGGCTGGTGGGCAGCTGTCTGTGCCTCTGCCATAGCACTGTTTTGGTGGCACAGGCTTGCAGACAGCCGTGTTTGGGTGCATGAGTTGCCAACACATCCTCTCTGCTGGCAGAAAGGGAGAATGTGAGCAATCCCCATCTCTTCCAAGTTGTTTGCACCTTTTGCCAGTTGTTGTCCTGCCAATAACTATACAGTCAATTAAAAAAAATCAGCTTGGGTTGATTGGTTGGATGGATGTGGAGAATGCATTTTTAACTTAAGGAAGGTAAATCTGTCATCTGGGATAACAGTCCCCTAAGCTGGTGAAAAAACAGGTTCCCACATAGGATATTTTCAGTCTGGCAGACCTGAGAGTGTGTGCTGAATGATTTGACTACTTTCTAATACTTTTTTTCTGAACAGAAGTTGATCCTAAACCTTCTATGAAAGTGCCAAATGTATTGTAGGCATGCTAACTGCTGAACTATTTCTGGCCAGGAGGTGGTGCCAGAAAATAACTTTATCTTCAAGGCTCTCCTTCCCCAGTCCAGTGTTTTCAGAAATGTTCCTCGCCAGGTTTTCAGTGATGGTAAAAGATTCTGGGATGACAGCTCATGGGCCTAAAGTCTTTTCTTGCCCTAAGCCAGATAGCCAGTGGTGGCAGTCATGCACGCTGCTGTTGTGCTGCTCTTTTGTTCTTTTCTGGGGGAATTAAACATCTTTTGTATAAGCCTGTTCGCTCTTTGGCCTCTTGAATGAAGCTGTTAGGGTAGACACTGGAAGGCGGGAATGTGAATCAGATGCCAGACTGAGATTCATCAAAGTGGTGGGCAGTGGGGTACCAAGTCTTAGCTTCTTGGACTGAGTTGTAACTGGATACTGAGAAGTGAGGCAGCGTGTCTAATTACTGAATTCCTATGCCATCAAGTCTTCAGTCCCTGATTTTTCCATTTTTACACCTAAGTGATATGGGTTAAAAGAGCTGGCTGCATTTCTTCTTGGCAGGTCGTCTTGATATCGACGTAGAATATGTAAATGATTGCAAGAGGTTAGCCAAGCAGTGTCGGCTGCAGGACCTCATAGACGATTTGGAGACCAAATGTAAAAAAGTCTATGAATTTGGTAAGCATTTTACTTGCTGTTGTCTCTGCTGTGCCTGTGTGTCCTTTCAGGGAGAAGGAGGAAAGTGTGGTGGTGGATTTTTCATGGTGCTCTTGGGGCTTCCAGAAAGTGATTCTGTTGTGGAATTCCCATGTTTGCATGATAGTTTTCAGTCATGGGCTCTCTGTAGGGCAGCTGTGGTGGTTTCTGACACATGCATATTTATCATTTATATTGAATGTTTTCATTATAGTAGAGCAGCCATGGCAGCAGGACTTTGCTGTGGTTGCCAGACATTCAGTGGAGCACTGTAGGGTATATTGGGAAGTGCCTTTCAGCAGAGACCTTGTTTAAATCCCTTGGGAGATATAATATGTACAATTAAAAGTCCTTTTCTGCATTTATCTGACCCTAACCAAAGTAAAACATTTGATAATCGGCTCAAAATGAATGCGGAGAGATATATAACACTTTTTTAAGAGCAGAGAAGTATTTCTGAAAGCATGTGTGTATTTATAACACAGGTATGTGCCAAACCTTAAATGATGCAATCCTTTATTTAAGGGCTTTTTGTTATCCAAAGAGCTTGTGATCTAATCATGACATCAGCTTATTGCATGAAAACCAACAGTTGGAGTTTATCATTCATCTCCTTAGTTCAAGCTAAAGGACACGTGAGTAAGAATCAAAACAGCACAAGTAGGACGAAGCGGTGTTAGTCATTAAGTAAAAAAAATTATCTGGTAACAAAACCTTCAGGCTGAAAACATCTGATTCTCATTTCATGCTCTGAGTTAACTCCTTTACTTCAGTCACGTTAATTTTGGTTTGAGAAGAGAATCTAGTCTGTAGTTTTCAAGTCAATAGCATCTTCCTTGATCTGAGAGGTAAGAGTGTAGCTATTCCACCTTTCCCTTTTGAATTATGAGTTCTGATTATTCAGCCTCCTGAAGTTGCAGGGCTTAACAGATAGAGGCAATACTTCTGGCTCAAGAAATTCCTCATCTGCAAACCACATGGAAGATATTACCATATGTATGTCTCCACTTAGGCATGTGCAATTGTTTGGTGGTGGTGGGGTACTAGGTTACCACAGTAGAGCTGTTCCCATGTAGACCAGGGTGGAAGTCCTTATGTCATGGAAGCTGTTTGATAAGTCTTACCTCAGTCGTGTAAGCACAAATGTAAGCATGCATCTGAAGAGATGAGAAATGCATTTCTTGATTTCTTGCTACAAGTAGTGTAAGATATCAGTTTGTGTGTTAAATAAGTGATGGAAAAGGGGAGTGGTGGTGAGTACCATGACTAGAAAATAAAAACTACTCAGACAATCAGGTAACAGAATTATCTTGTGGCATCTTTTGATATCAGAGTAATCCAGTGAGATCCTGGAGATCCCCCCCCCACCCCGCCCCGTTTTTTCCTTTTTTTTCTTTTTCTTTTTTTCTCCCAGTGTCTAGCTGAGACCCTGGAGGTGATCATTCCACCTTAATACATCAAGTTAAAATCTCATATTAGATTGTGGGAGGAAAATAAGGTGGATAGTTTGCTAGCTGTCTGAAGCCATTGCATAGCATGTCATTGGCAACCTAAGGATCGTGAAGTCCAGTAGTTAAATTCATGAACTGCAAAAACGCTGAGTTCTTGGTGGGGTGCAAAAATGGAAAATGGTGAAGCAACATTTCAGGTTGGCTGGGAGTTTCAGATACAAGCTCCACTTGCAAACGTGATGATACAAACTTCCTGGATGGCACTGGACAAATTTAATTTCTGTGTTCTTTGGGAGGGAACAGTTGTTCTTCATTTCTAAGGTCTGACAGCAGAGATAATCAATGGGTGGTGTAAAGCACTGATGGAAAGTACTAGGCTTGATTTTATTTACGACAGGTTGGATTCAAGTGAATAGACATAACTGCTGATAGATCTGTTAAATGTTTGTTTCTCATATCAGATCTCATGTGGAAGCCAGGAAAACTTGATTCTCCAGAAAATAATACATATAAGAATTATAGAAGTTAAAAATTGGGAAAGATCTTAGATCATATCATGTCTGGCATTGTGTTCCCTCTAGTGCGTTAGGTATCTCTGCTTGTTCAAAGTGCTTTCTGTGGAATAGACAGCTGATTCAGGTCTGCAGAGCAGGGCCATGTCTTGCATCTGTATTATAAAGGTGAGATGTGCCTAATAAAACAACGTGAACTGAAGCCTGTGCAGCTCCAGTGGGTAATTGCAGTCTCTTCAATCTCATTATCTAGAGTTAAGCAGCATTTCAAAAGCACTTAGTATCTTGTCATGCACAGACAGTAGTTTAGGAAAACCCTGGAGAGGATGACCCAGTGCCTTCTGTTGCACCTGAGATAGACTTCAGTGTGAATGCTTGCATATCTTCCCCCACATGTATATTGTGGCTATAACAAGAAAAAACTGTTGCAGTGTTTGGAAAAGCTCAGACAGGGTTTGTCCAGATTAAGCCATAATCCTTCCTTTAGAAGTAGAGGTATTTGAAAATAAATGTTCTGCAGTTATTCCTACAAGTTTTAGGGCAAAGAGGTTGAGAGCAAGGTTTGTGATGCTTGCCTTCATAGCAGAGGCACTGGGTGTACAGAATCTGTGGTTATAGCTAGTCATGGCATTGGGAGGAGGATGTGTAAGGCAGGTATCTGAGTGTGGCATCATTTTGGAAAGGTTTGGGAGTTTGGTGGGGGGTTTTGTGGCTTTTACTTTTTGTGGTGCATTGGCTCAATTGAAACAAAAGACTACAAAGAAGTATTGAGCAGTGGAAACAAAGGTAGCTGATGAATTGGTAGGTGACGCTCAGTGCTATACAGCTGGCCTAGACTGGGAAGAAAGACAAAATCCTCCATTCTCAACCGTAGTTGGGTTATTCCCTCCAGCTCCTTGCATTGTTTACGTTGCTCTTTTCAGAAAACCCTTCATTCCTACTTCTTGCAAGGAGGTGATGGTCCCTGCTGCTTGCTTGCAGCCAACAGCTTATTCCTGTTCTGTTACTTTGATTTTTATTGTTTCTGTTAGGAGAGAGTTGCTTGTGATACCAAATGCTGTGCTCTTGGATTTGAGAGATGCGGTGTCTGAAATGTTTCATGATAGATGTCCTTCTCAGACAAATCACTGTTCTTTCATGTCACTATGAAAGTGCACAGATGCTTTGTAGATCTCAAGAGAAGAACTCTTTCTCTTGACTACTGCTTAAAACTTGCTGGGTCCATTAGCGCTTACAGAGCCTGATTGATTTGGCAACTGTTATAACAGGCACTACACAAATATAAATGATTCTCTCTGCTGTAAAGAATTTCTAATTGCACAGTGAGAAATTTCCTTCTCTCACGCTGGTCTGTAAGTGGACAGGGCTCTTCGAGAAAATGCACTCAGCCTTGTTTGTGTTGGTGCCAGGTCTCCTCTTGGCTTATTTACCCTGGAAGTCATCTGTCTGAAGTTTAGTGCTAATAGAGCAGCCTGTCTCCTTGCTGGTGTAGCTCCGAGTGTAGCAATGCTGGTACCTGACTGTCTTGTATTGATAAATTACCCTTCTCTTTCCAGTATCTTTCTGGGATATTCAGCCTATTTGAGGTACAGTGGTGGCGTATCTGAAGAGTGCAGCAGTAACATGGAGGAGGGGGTGGAGAACTTGTTTTGTGGCACATCATGGTCTTGTTTCGCCCACGGCCCAGTGGAGTCATCTGATGGAGCTCATGTAATGCTGTGCAAAATGTCAGGAAAAATGAGGTCTCAAGGTGGCGTGATTCACCTGCGAGGGGTTTTAATGTGGTGAATCATGCCTGCCAGAAATTCTTCTGAACACTTCAGCGTGGGGCTGCTTAACTCTTCCGTCCTTGAGAGTTAACTCTGCACCTCTCTGGCTCCCAGCAGCATCTCAAGCCTTCCTCACCACAACTTTGCATTTTCCAGTGGTGCTCTGTGTTTTTTCACATGCTTCCCTATATGCCAGTGACTCTTGAATGTCTTACGTGCTCCAGTCCTCACCCCAAAGCATGCTGAGCTGAAAACAAACCTGGGGTAGTGAACTGCGGGAGGGAGGTGGCCAGAAAGAGGAAAGGCTGTGATGGGAGTGGTATTGTAACACAATAGCTGGGGGTACTTTGGGTTGCCACTCGTTTGAAGTTAGGGGGGTTGGCTTCAAGGAGCTCCACAGCAACTTTGGTCATAGCAAGACCACAGAAGTATGATTGTGTATTTTGCTTCCCCTTTATCAAGCTGTTTAATTGCATAGGCTGGTAGGGCAAGACAGGAAGATGCACTAGGTCTGAAAAAGGCAAATGAAATTGCCATCTCTGTATGGTTTATTTGATCTCTTTGGTGGTGGTAGCAATGCTTATTTAATGTTTGCAAACAACACAGGCACACTCAGGAGTCCAGGTGTTTTGGGGGTCTTTGTGCTTTGGGGATCTACAGGTAGAGAGTAGAGGACAGACTCGGGTGCACTGAACTTATTACCTAAACAAGAATAAATCCCTTTATTCCCTGGAGTGAAGTTAGGATGGCACAGCTGAAACAGGACCCATGAGAGCACGTGGTCGAGCAGAGGGGCATGGAAGCAGCTTTGTTTTAACTAAATACTCCCTGGCATAGGCTTCACTTTAGGTGATGCTGTCAGTGGTAGGGGTGGTTGGCTGGGGAAGGCGTTGTGTGAGCGGCTCCTACAGGGATCAGGGGCAGGCTGATCAACGGTCCTCAACTATAATTGATGACAAGGATTGCAGAGAGCAAGTTGGGCTTGAAATATGCCTGTGTTTGCCACGGTTGATATTCCAGCACAAGGAATTAAGTGGAGACTCAAGGAGAGACAACAATACATGCATCCCCTTCCAGCCCTGCTCACCAGCTGTACTGAGGGGTGCTGTATGCATGTTTACATAGAGGAATCGCATGTGTTTTGCAGTAAAAGCTGCAGTAACAGCAATAATACTGATTTTTTTCTGGAGTGTCTTTCTTTTCTCTAAATGGGAGAGAATGTTTGTAGAGGAATTTAGGCATCTCTGCTCTTTTTGTTTTTTTGCTTCTTCCAGTTTCTTCCAAGCCAGGGACCTGTGTGAAAGTGCTGACGATTGAGCCCACAGGTAACTGCCAGCTGCAGGAAGATCTGGCTCTCCTAGCAGACTGCGCCCTGCCAGCCGAACTGCGGGTAGGGAGCATTTATACTACTTCGGGTATCTGCAGGGCTGTGCTATGTGTTTACATGTGTTGTTGTATTTTCTCCATTTGAGTTTAGTGCTTGCTTGTTTGCTGGTGCTCCAAATGCTGAAAGCCTCTTATTGCTTGGAAAGGCTGTAAAATTGTTTAATGAGGCTGTCAGTGCTGGTCCTTTCCCTTGGATTTTTCCCCCAGCAGGGATCTCTGTAAACAAAACCCTTGCCATGCGGTTGGTGGGGATTTCCCCATTGACGACAATGGGACAAGAGTTGACCCCCAGCTCTTTTTCCTTCTCTCTGCTATCCTTCTGGAGCATCAGAAATGTTTTATCAGCAGACATTGGTACCCAAAGGAACTTACGGATGGAAGATGGCTTGCTGGGCTTGCTTGCTAGGAACTGACACCCTGCAGTGGAGAGGTGCTTTCAAACCCTGAAAATATTTCCAGCAGAAATGAGAGTCCCTCTGAAGCGAATTTAACCTGACTGGCAATAGATTTGCGTTTCATAACTACGTCTTGTTGGCCCTTAGAAATAGCCCACAGACCACAGGTTGATGATCACCATGTTAAAATACCATCATTATTATTAGTTAGGCTCATATATGTGGATCTTCGCTCCCAGTTGCAGGAGAACAGGATAAATATTAGTGGTCTTCATTCTCCCTGCATCTGTTGTTTTCTGTAATATCAGCAGATTCACTTTGCTCTTATGTCTGTCCTTTTCTTCCTCTCTCTCGTACCAACCACTGAATTTAATAACGTGAACTCATTTTAGGTGGCTGCTGTGCCCAGAGGTTGTATGACTGAGTGATGTAGCAAAGTTTATTGCCTTTTTTCTGTTTGTCCTCTGTCAAATAGACCAGCCTGGTGCGGAAAGCGTGTGCGTGTGCATGGATAAGGTTTCTTACCTGTAATAAGCCAGTGTGTTTTGTGCTGGCTTTTGGCAGACATATTTCTCTGAGTACTGAGCACTTTATAGAGGGAGTTTTTCTCCATCAAGTTTCCATCTACCAATGCAGAAATCTTTCCTACGTAACCTGCCTCCCCCAAATAACTGTGCATTTATTTGTGGCTTTCAATATGCTTTTCTGTATGTTTGCAGGCTTTAAAGGGAGGCGATACTATAAGTAAGCGTCAGATTTACCTCCCCAAGATTTAAAAAAAGGATCGTGGGCCCCAAAATAGTGAGATTCACATAAATTTTAAGTCACTTCACAAATAAAAAGAATGCTTTCTGTTTGATTGCTTTTTCTCAGACCTTGATGGCATGCTCCTGTTAGGCTAAGCTTTTTTTCTCAAGGGTTAGAAACACTTCCCTTTTTTAATTCTTTCATGCAGAATAGGAGCTGGAAGGAAAATATGAAACTTGGAATAATATAATCATCTGACAGCATGTCGTGGTTTCAACCCAGCTGGCAACTAAGCACCACCCAGCCGCTCACTCGCTCCCCCCGCCCCCCGGTGGGATGGGGGAGAGAATCAGAAGGTTAAAAGCGAGAAAACTCGTGGGTTGAGATAAAGACAGTTTAATAGGTAAAGGAAAAGCCGTGCACGCAAGCAAAGCAAAACAAGGAATTCATCCACCACCTCCCATGGGCAGGCAGGTGTTCAGCCATCCCCAGGAAAGCAGGGCTCCATCACGCCTAACGGTGACTTGGGAAGACAAACGCCATCACTCTGAACATCCCCCCCTTCCTTCTTCTTCCCCCAGCTTTTACTGCTGAGCATGATGTGTCCCCTCCCAGCTCCTTGTGCACCCCCAGCCTGCTCGCTGGTGGGGTGGTGTGAGGAGCAGAAAAGGCCTTGACTCTGTGTCAGCACTGCTCAGCAGTAACGAAAACACCCCCATGTTACCAACACTCTTTTCAGCACAAATCCAAAACAGAGCCCCATCCTAGCTGCTATGAAGAAAATTAACTCTATCCCAGCCAAAACCAGCACACTGCACTGTGAATGCCTCTGTGAGCTGTGTTTTTCTTGCTATATTCATAGATCAGAACGAAGGCAGTTACAGCAGCATTAGACTTGTTATGGCTGTAAAAGTGAAGAGGGCATAGGCACACGCCTGTTCACTAGAGAATTTGTATGCCATGCACAAATGTGAGTGCTTTGTTTAAGCCTGATAAATTCTAAAAGATTCCCATTTTTCTCTCTCTAGGTCTTTTTTTTTTTGTTAACTTACAAAGAATATATGAACAAAGCTCTTCATCCTATTGCCATTTATATCTCATCCTAATGTTTTCAAATTGTTAAATTCTGTGAATTAGGCATCTTTGTTCTGGGACAGAGGAATTGCACATCCTCATTCTTAGTGTTTGATGCCATACAAGGAATAGTATACAAACTATGTAACCTAACATGTCAGGGCACCATGTACAAACATCTGTGTTCTCGAGAGAAACGTACATTTTTTTCCAGGCTATGCAGAACAAAATAGGTATTCGGCTTCTGGATAAAAGCCAGCATTTCCAGAATTTGGCAAGAGACATTCGGAGCTGCTGCATGTCATGTAATGCCATATTACATGAAGTGGGGTTGTATACGACTTTCTATTTCACTATAAAAAAATAATGTGCATGTAATGTCTTTGATACTTCAGTGATACAGAAAACTATGCATCTCAATTTCATAGTTCAGTAATATGTTATATGACTTAAAAAAATATTTTATATTCAATCATGGTTCATTATTAGTTTTTAGAGTGAGAACCATCTATTCTTTGAACTCTTAAACACGTTTATAATCTTGGTATCTTGTTTCTCATTCCTGTTTATACTTTAAAGCCCTTTCTCCTTCAGTGTTTGTTTTTAAAAGTGTGGTTGTTGTCTCTATATTGTTTTAAACTAGGAATGGCCAGAATTTTTCTGACTGCAACAAATAATTGGTTTGTTGCAATAAATTTAGCAGTGACAGATTTAAGTAAAAATACCATCAAAAGCCAGGCAACTGTCAAAAACCATGTGGCTTTCCACTGTCTGTCTGCCTAGCTTTTCATCTTCTGTCTGCCAGGTGACCTCTGAGTTAGAGACTCCAGGGCTTCCAGTGTATGAGACTGTAGGCACATCATTTCCTTGCAGCTGGTTTTTCATTACCTTTTAACTGAAATCTTATTTTCCAAACCAAGATGAAATCAGACTTAAAAGGATCAGAGTTTGCCATGAAATAAATACTGTTCTCTCCATCTCTATTGACATTTGGTGTGGCTGCAAAGAAATGTGACCATTTGTCACTTTTGGGGTAAAGCTAAATCTTGTAATGCGTAGAAAGAACAGTTGGAAACAAGTAGATGGGTTCCATCTTGTCTGCCTCCACACCTGTGTAGCGTGGTTGTCCATGGCAGTTATTCCTGTGCTTTGCTTTGCCCATTTGGCAGAGGCAGATTAACTGAACTATTTACAACATGCTGGATTTTTTTTTTTTTTAATCCACTTGCATCTGGTTATGGGCTGGTAATCTTCTCTTGGATCACTAACCCCTGTATTTTGTGTTGTAATTTATTTACAATTTTCTTGCTGAGATAATCTGGCCAAGGTACAAATTGCTGCCACTGATTTGTTTTGTATGGTTTTGCCTCCAGCAACATTTCTATTTAAGTGCCAATAGCAAATTCGTAGCAGCAAAGACGTGGTCCTCCACATGTGATGGCTGGAAGATCCTGAGAATGTTCAAGCAGTCTTATGCTATAGAAGTGTTGAGAATATTTCTGTATGGTGAATGAGTTATTGTGAATGTGTTTGCACCTCGTAGGCTAGACCGTTTTGTGCTTCCTGGGCAACATACTTTGGCAGCTGTGCTTTGTCTGCACAGGGGTATGCTAAGGAGGTTGCCTGAATGGGGGGGTGGGAGGAATAAGCCAGTTTTCTGCAGGGAGACCCTGAAAGGGAGATGAAATTCTTCAAGCGTGACAAGGGAGGAGAGTAGAAGTAGTAGAGACTTAAAAGGGGAGTAAAAGGGAAAATTCTGCAAAGCCACTTCATGCTGAATAGGAGAGACAAAGACATGAACCTGCTTTTGTAGTAGGAATTGGAAATGACCTTGCAAACCTGAGCATCGGAGTGGGGACCAGGCAAGGCTAGAAGCAGGAAATTGAGCCTGGAGGAGTTTGTAATTCAGGAGACAGACAAAACTCCCATGTCCATTCCAGAGGGATGGATTCCTTTTAAAGATTTACCTTTGGACAATGAAAGGGGAGCAAAGAAGGGACGCATGCAGGAGATGTGGAGTTTGTCTCAATTAAAATTCTTGTGCTACAAAGAGTAGCATCTTATCAAAGCCTGTTTCTAGGTTTGTTTTACCTGTAATGTGCCTGCAAAGTTGTAGCCTTGAAAGTCATGTCAGAATTTCTAGGAGAGGACGTGGAAGCTGTGGGCATAGGGTGGGGAAACAGTGGGCAGTTGGATCATGACTACTAGCATTTGTAATGGTAACTACTAGCCACAGAGAGTGTGGCTGCAGACCGCCGTTTGTTCATTGCCTTGAAACATGAGACACAGATAACAGCAAAATAGCAGCCTGGGGAATCTACAACTGGGACGATTTGATCTCATCTTTGATGCTGGAGGTGCTCATTGTGTTACAGCTATATAAAAAAATAGATCAGGTGGGAAGCGTTCCTTGAATTGCTGTATCTCGTCTGGGAGAGGAGTTCCCCGATGGGGAAGGACTCACAGGGGAGAGGTGCTATGGAGAGGCAGGATTACTGTGGCAGCCATGCGCACAGTTTGAATGTCACTGGGCATACTCTCCTGTGATTAGGAACCAGAAGCTGCCAAATGTTGCTGTGGACAAAGAGCCTGGCAAATGGGTCCAGATTGCCATGTTCAGTGGTGGTGTGAGCTTTTGCCAGCTTGGTGCCTTGCCACATCCTAGAACCTGTTTTGTGAGAGAAACCCCGTTGCATGCGAACTGAGCTTGGCTGAGCACCAACCCAGTGTATCGCAGGCCATGTCTTTGTTTAGTTTGGGAGGGAGGAGTCATCTGGCTCCTCAGTAAAGCTGAAAGTCAGTTGCTTTCAGTTAGGATGGAGGCAGGCGTGTTGGAAATGGTGCTTAGGTAGTCTGCGATTGGGAGAATGATCTTCGTGGTCAGCCCAGGGTTTTCCCAGGTGCAAACTTGGGATGTAGCTTTCCTGGATGAGAGACAGCAGTAATAAACTCCTCGGCCCAAGCAGCTCAGGGGCATGTGTTTGGAAAGCAAGAACCAGGGGAAAATTTTGTTTCTAGAGATTAATTGTCTTGATTACATCACTGTGAACATAAACTTTTTTCTACAATTGAATTACCCTGTATATAGGATAAGGTGAAAGTGAAAATATTTGGAAGTGTCACTTCAAAATAACATAAGGCTAACAGATTTTTTTTGTGTGTGTGTACTGTCTTTGTTGGCATGTGGGACTGGGAGGAGGTGTGTTGGTGTTAAAAATAATGCACTAGAGTATTAATACTGCAACAACACTATCTTTGGCTGCAAATCAAATGAGAAATTTAAAATGTGCTTTAGAAACATTGGATTATTCAAGTGAGGCAGTAATTGTAGTGAAACCATTTCAAACTGCTGTATACTTCTATGTAATCTATACGTAACTACATCTACCTCTACATCTACACAGTAAAGGGCTAGTCCTAAGCTCTAGTATGCTTATGATACCCACTACATGAAGTAAACTTCACCTCCGCTTGGTTATCTGTCTTGTTAGGTGGCACAGAAATGCTTTCCAGAGGTGTATGGAGGGTCAGGGAGTTTCCATGGATAAGGGAGGCAGCTGTAACTTGTACCAGGAATATGTCTATCAGGAGTGCAAGGACTTCAGTTCCTCACATTGAAATCTGTGTTCAGAGCATCTCTGGTGCTCTGCACTGTGGTGAGGGAACGAATGGATGGTTGCTTCTGGGAAGACCAAGAAGTCCAAAGTCGGGACCCTGAGTGTGTTTAGAGCATGAACGTGAAAGGTAGGGTTTTCTGGTTTTTCTTCCTAGGTTGGTTTTGGGGAGTTGCCGTTTGACAGCACTGACAACTTTAACAGTTGTCCCGACGTGTGTTTCCGGGTGGCAGATTACAACTTTCTGTGCCATAAGGTATGTGCTTGTGCTATACTTCATTCTCCTCCCTTTTTGCCATGAGCCTAGTCTACCTGTCTCCCCCACTCCTCCAGTGCTGGATATGCTCTGCAGAAGCAGCATTGCCTCATCAACTGGAAAACCAAAAGTCTTATTGCAGCTGGAAATTATATTTAAAGCATTTAACAAAACAGCAAACCCTGCCTTTCTCGCAGAGGTGAGGAGATAAATTTATGGATTCAGCTACAACATTCACAGCTGCAAAATCTCCTACTGCCAGCTTGCGAGTTCAGTGTCTGGAGAGGGGAATGTTTGATCTGCAAGTAAACAGCAGTAAGAATGGATTTTGAAATCCAACCTCAACTCAAACTCTGCCCTAATGCCATGCTACTTTTGAATCTCTTAAGTTTACAATTTGTTTTTTTGGTTCTGAGGGTAGGCATGGATAGAAATAAAGTATGGAAAAGTGTTGGAGATGCAGCTTCAAAATATAGGGAGAATTAGAGTTAGTCTGAACTTCCGAAATATCTTTTAAGCTGTTCCGACAGCTGGTTGGTAGTGCTGTTTGACTTGGTGCAATGAGAAAGATGTGAGTGTTTTGGTCTGTCTTCCCTCTCCAGGCATTTTTCTGTGGTCGCAGTGATTATTTCAAAGCCCTTCTTGAAGACCATTTCAGTGAGAGTGAGGAGCTGCAGACACAGCCCAGCATCCCTGTGGTGACTCTCCACAACATCTCAGAAGACATCTTCATCCGAGTCCTCTACTACATCTACAGTGACGATACAGAGGTGAGGCCAGCCATGGAGCCTTTCCTCCTGTGCTGATTAATTCTGGAGGTGTTCACAGCAGTGTTTTCCTACAGCATCTGGAGGTGGGGTGTATGTGTGGTTACTTAAATCCCACTGCCCTACTCTGCTACCTCACTTCTGTCTCAGGAACCCACATACTGGGACTTGCTGTTAGCCAGGCAGGGATCTAGTTTATGTGCATGACATTCGGGAAGCAAATCCCTAGTCTTTCATCCCATAACAAAAATTTGGAAATTAGGTTGCACGTTGTATGTTGGCGTGATAAATGCAGGGTGTTGCAGATTTCCCTCTTGGGTTCTGTGGAAGGATAAGGTGAGCAGCTGCCAGTAGATGGCAGATTGAACACATTTGGAGATGTAGAAAGGTTGAGAGATTTGGCTTATTTACTCTTGGCATCATAGCCCACTTTTCCATTTGTAGCAAGTCATTATTTCCACTGTTATTTATTGCTGGGGTGGGCAAAGGTTCCACTGGGAGACCAACGCCTTGCTGTGCTCAGCAAGCAGTAACAAAATGGCCCTAACCCACCTAGTTTTTAGCCTAATGGAAGGTGCAGCAAATCTCAGCATTTAAGCAGCTTCCTGCTTTGTTTTCGTGGCAAATGCTTTCAGCAGGTCTAGCTAGAAGATGCCGCAACACATTCTGGCATTAGGACAGTGATCAGAGACGCTGCTGCCTGCCAGCGTCACTTCTCCCACGCAGTATTTGTGCTCTGGGTTAGGTGCCACATACAGAGAGTGCACGCAGCTGTGACCTTATTTCTGCTGATCCGTTCACCTCCGGGTAGCAGCAGGGAATGTGCGGTAGGGAGAAATGTATTTAGCAGGCAGCAAGGGCAGGATTGCCATTGGTATGCCGGAGAGCAGATGCTTCACTTGTCTGCACTCTTCCCTCAGCCACGCGCTGAAAGGGCAGGCAGAGAGGGAAAGAAGCATGGTGAGGTTGTGAAGACCCTCCTGACCTTGTGACTGCACTGCAGCGTGACCCTGTTCCCTTGCACCTCTCCAGTCTGCCTGCCTTCCTTGTGATGTCTTACAGGAAGGATGTTTCCCAAGCAGCCGTTCCTTTCCAAGGGGTGTCTCAGCTGCCCTGTCTGGACTTGGAGCAGGAGGACAGACCAACAGCAACGTGTAGGAGTTGAAAGGGTCTTGCTCATATGTTTTCTATGCAGAATGGCGCCATCACAGAAACTAGCTTGGATTTCAAACTGAGCAGCCAAGATATGAGCTTCTGCAGAGTTCATCTGTCATGAAAAACTACCAGGAAAAATGATCAGGAAAACAGGAATATAGCTCAAGTTCCACACTTATGTGTGGAGTGTTCTCCCTGCCGTGGGTTTCTCCAGCCAAGTGTCAGCACTCCCAGTTCCACGTTCCTTTTTCCAAAGGATTTATATGCCTCTCTGCCGTGTAGTAGTGACAATGCTTGCAGTTGGAGGGAAGAGTGTGTGCAGAGGACAGAACAGGTTCCAGGCAGAAAGAGAAGTTGCTGATTGGAATACTTGTGTGGGCTCAAGGGGAGCTTTTAGAGGAACGTTTGCGAGGTTTGTCCTTGATCAAGCAGTTGGGAGCTGCTGCCATCAATAGTACTGACTCAAAACCCCTCCAACTTGTGAGGTTCCTGGAGCTTATGAAAGGACAAAGCAGCACTTGATTAATAACCCCAAGAGCTTAATACACCACTGGCACTACAGCACTCATGGCATGCCTCTAATACATCTTGCATCCTTCTGCACAGATGTTGCAGGGTGTTACACAGCTGAGACATGTGCTGTGAGTAGTCTCTCCAAACAGCGGTGTGGACAGCTGTAGGAGAAGAAATAACCAGCCTTTCGCAGTTGTAAGAGTGAGCAACCACATGTGTAGATGTGGACAGCAGTGTTTTTGCTGCTAACCAGTTATCAGGGCAGTGGACCATGCTGCACCAGTTACCATTCCTCAATCTAGACCAGTGTGGCTTGGTCTCTAGATGCAAGTGATGTCGCCTCCTCCACAACCAGGGTATACTGCATCCTGCAGATTTGCTGTTAAAATGGATGTGGGTAACTGCTCTTTGCACTTCACGTTAGCAGGAACAGAACTGTGCAAAGAGAGGCTCTAGTTCCAGGTTAGTGACACAGATGGCTGACTAAAATAGGATTTGCCCAGCCACGGGGAGGAGACTGAGTGAAGCTGGAGGTGGTGTCTCCAGCATTATCTACAGCGTTTTTTATCTTCAGATCACTAGTAAAGAGCAAAAATACCCAAGAGGGAAATGGGAGGGTGGGTCTCTAGCTCAAGAGACTGAAAATGTTAAAGACCATTCACAACGGTGTAAGCTTGAGCATCTGGTGCATGAATTTAGTTCAGTTTGAATGCCTGTTAAAGCTCCAGTAGTATTTGATGTGCAGAGCCTGTTCCTTACCTAGTTGGGCCTCACCTATAGTTTATTTGGGGTGCAATCGTCTGTCTTTGGGCGTATCCCTGTGCCAGGGAGGTTGTGCTGGCTGAGTTAGCAGAGCCAGTTTGAGGAAGGAACTCAAGAGAATTTTGCATGTTTCTCACAAAATGCAAGTCCAGCAGTACAAAATGGGAGGAAAGGTCCTAGTGGGGACAAGGTGTTCTATTCTGCCAGCCTGTTCTGTTTGTCTCTTTGAACGGCTTTCAGTACCTCTGGTAAAAGCTACCTCCTTCCACTGCCACATTGAACACTTGTTATCAGCCAGCTTTCAACTGCACTTCAGTCTTTCAGCATTGCTTTGTGCTTAGCTAGAGGCGTTAGCTGCAGCATGGCAAACTTCTTGCTTTGTGCTGAGCAAACTGCCACTGCAGCATTTTAAACTCCTCTGTGGTAACTGAGTGCAAGACCTAGCCCTGAAAAATTGAGCTCCTGTCTCTCCATAGTACTGTTAACACTTGTCTGGTAATGGACCAAACAACACTTTAGGGAATCTCTGCTAAGACACAAAAGAAGGCGGCAGTTTGCCAGCGAAAAGTGGGTAGGACTGGACAATAATTCCCCTCTTTCCATTGCCAGCTGTCCCCGGAAAACGCCTACGATGTGCTGTGTGTGGCAGACATGTACCTGCTGCCTGGGCTCAAGCGCCTTTGTGGCAGGACCTTGGCTCAGATCCTTGATGAGGACAACATTGTCAGCATCTGGAGGATTGCAAAGCTGTTCCAGCTGACCCGGCTGGAGGACCAGTGCACTGAGTACATGGCAAAGATCATCGAGAAGGTAGCAGAAGCACTCCCCGCTGCACTTACCACATGTGCCCATAAATCCAACTGCACAGTGAGCCATAGATACAACAGAGTTAATGGTTGCATTTTGGTCTGTAATAAATGGTTGCCCTCTCTGGTTTAACGTGCTTTCTGAAAATGAGCAGCGGTTAAGTAGCAAAGCACATGGTGAGTTAGGACAGGGGGTGAAGAGTGTGACAGTACCTGATGTCGCTGCAAGCACCAGATGCTGGTGGTTGTCTAGCACATCCCTGTGGACTGTGGGGTGAAAAACCTGCCCAAAAAGTTCTGCAAGTGCCATGGGCAGGTGACTTTCACTGAGCTTTCAGCCACCATGCCCAGAGCAACAACGGTGTTGCCTGAATACACCAGCTGCAGCCTGGAGAACCCAATGGGGTGTGCAGGAAATGTTTTTCGGCATTTGCTGGAGGGAGTTCTTCCTGGCATAATGCTACAGAAAGGAGTAATCAATGTGATCTCTACTGTCCTCCAGGATGACAAATCTAACAGTAGGGGTTTCCACAGGGGAAATTTGGCCATGAACAGCTAGAAGTAATGAATCTAACACTGAAGTTTTCTTTATGGGACTCCATTTAAGTGTAATCCTGAGTGATAATAGCTTGAAGTTTCAGGACTCATGGAGAAAGTTGCCATACGGAAGGATAAACTAGAATCTATGGGGCGTTCTTATTCTGAGACAGATCTTTATGAATGGCTTGTACAGTTCACATGGGAATGTAACATTTTCACCTGCAGCTTGAAAGGTGTGAAATTTTTTGGTGTGTGAAAAAAGCAAAGGAAATTATTCTGGGGCTGTTATTTTGTTCAGTGTATAGCTTGGGGATGATAGGCACATCAGCATGCACCCAGATTCTGGCTTCTGAAAAAGGGATATTGTTTGAAAGCTGAATGAATATCCCAAGTAGTAATCGGGCAAGGTAGGGCTTTACTTGTGTGTTCCCCTTGCATTCCCCTTCTCTAGCCTCAGTGGGAGTCCTCAGACCCAGCATTGGCAATGTGCCTTCCTAAGGGTGTTGGCACAAATGGAGCCACCCCAGCTGTTCAAACATCAGCAGCTGCCAGCATCTTGTAGAGATGCACTGATGATGGCAACAGGGAGAGATTTTGGCAGCGTGTGTAGCATAGAGCAGGGCTCAGCAACCTGCCGTGCCCAGGCACAGTTTGGTAGCATAGACAGACGGAAGCTGCCTCTCACCCTTCAGCACACCACATGTTCCTGGGGAACTTGATGCAAAATCATTCATGGGTGACCTGATTCTGTCAGGTTGGGTGCAGAACAGAGCAGCTGCCTTGCTGTGATCTGCTGGTCAGCTGTTGGTGGTGGGGCTGAGAGCCATGGTGGGGATAGTCATCTGTGGCTCCTGGTTCTGAACTGGGCACAAGCTCCCACTGTCTTGCCTGTTGCAAGACATTTTCCAAAAGTGTCTGGCAGCATCCTGGTTCCTGCTGAGGAGCCTTTCTGGAGGGAATATTGTGTATATTCACGTGCCCCATACCAGAACTATGGATGCTTAGTTAGTGGGTATTACAGTGAGCTGTCTGAGGTGCAGACTGCTTACAGTTGTGACCATTTATTGTTGGAGTATTACTGCCTGCTTAGGATGAATGGTAGGATCTCCAAGTGGTGTCTGTAGGAGACACAGGAAGATTTGGGTCTCCATGTACCCTTAGCATTCCCTTTTTCTTCTGTGGGATCCCTCAACAGTGGCTGAGCCCATTATCGCAACCCTTTACATCCCGTTACCTGTCTTCTTGTCTTTCTAATGGTTCTCTTTTCCAACCTGTCCAGCTGGTGGAGTTGGAGGAGTTTGTGGCTGCTGTGAAGGAGAATGCGGAGGCTGTGGAGGAACGGCAGGAGACTGACTCCATTCCTCTGGTTGATGACATCCGCTTCCACATCACCAGCAATGTGCAGACTTACAGTGCCATCGAGGAAGCCAACCAGAAACTTGAAGCTCTGGAAAACCTCCTGGCCAGCATAGGGCTTGAGTGCTGATGTGTGCAAACCCTGGCTGTCATACACAGCCTGCCTAGCCCCCAGTGGGTTGGCTTGGAGTGCAAGAACATCTGTCTCTCTGAATGTCTCTCCTCCTCTCCTTTGTCCTCCTTCCCATCCACTTTCAGGCATGGTTTCTTTTTAATTTATTTATGTCTGGACAGTTGTGTGTCTGGTTTGTGTTTGGTTTTATTTTGTTTTTTGTTTCTCCTTTCAGAAGTAGCTCCCAAAACTCAGTCCAAATCAGTAGCTGCTGCTTTGTACAATACAATGCAGATAGGAGACTGCAAGCTGTTAGGGTCTTAGCTTCCTGTGGTAAGGAAGCTGTTCTGGGGGGACTTGCTACTGCTGGGTGTTAGGACCCATCCTGTTCTGTTGCCCAACAACACACCTCTGAAATTGGTTCATGCCAGGATATTTGTTGATTTGCCACCAGCAGGGGAAGAAAACTGGATTAAACTGTCCAAATAATATATTGGAAAGGAGGTGGCCTTTCTTTCACTGTCAGCATTATAAGATTGGCAAAGGTGGGCAGTGCTTCCCTAACAGGGACACAGGAGTACTTGGCTATGTGGAAGGCACTGTCTTCACCTGCTATTCTAGTTCTTAGATGAAAAAAACCAAAGTGATTTCCAGGTCTTCCCTAGCTTTTCATTGCTTTGAAGTGGTCAGAATTTAAAAGCTTTGCTTTCTGAACAAACATCTTTGGGAATACAATAGAGACCAGAGTCCTTCCATTTTTAGAAAGCAGTAGCTTTCAATGCATAGAAAAGGGAGAGCACCCCTTTTCTTCGTAACGGGAAGGAAACACCTTCTTGGAAACAACACTTCTCCCTTTCTTTTTGTCCACTGTAGTAGAGCAAAACTGACTTGCTTGGTGGGTTAGGGAAGAGGGGTCACCGGAAGTCTCTTTTAAGAGGAAAAGGGGCCTTTTGGGTCTATTGCAGGGCAGCTGTCCCACTTGTCGACCTTCTAGCTTTGCTCAGCCTTGAGCCTTGTAGCTTCATTGTTCTCCAGGAAATTCACTGTTTGTACTAATGAATGTTTTTGAATCTGTGTTCTGCAGTAGGTCGTGTTATCTTGTGTTGTCTCCCTAGATTCCTAATGAGGGTAACGATGTTCCTTCTCCTTGGCACCAATCAGCAGGCGATACCCCTGCATAAAGCTTGCCTTGCCAAATAGGCTGCCCTCAGAGCTGTTCACCTCCAGAATGGCATGTTAGGAGAGTCTCGAGTCCCCAAGGCACAGGCCGGGCATACTTTGTCGTGCTGTGAGTTGGGAGGGAGAAGAGGCGTTGTGTGAAGTGCACAGAGAATCTTGCACAGGCAGTGGGCTGCCATTACTAACGCATGTTGTCATTTTGGTCACTTTGTGAGGCAAGAGCTTGAAATAATCCATGTCAGGTGTGCTTTTAGTGTTTGAGGTGGGAACTGGACACGGATCCCCTGCAGCTTCAAAGTGTTGTTTTCTGTAATGGTAGTGGTACTTCATGTGGATAAGGAGAGGGTTTGGAGGTCCAGCGTTCGGCAGGCACTTGCTTCAGGTGTGGATGTACTGGGAGGATGGGTTTCTCTTCTTTGCTAATCTCACCAGGTGAGAGACTGATGCTCCCACACCATGTGGGAACTGCAGCCTCACTGCCCCTGCTCAGAGCATCTGCCTGTATCTGGCATGCGTTGAAGCTGTTTGCATGTACGTGGGCAGGCTTTGGGCACCACTTGCACTAGGCAGGCTGGGTTCAGTTGCAATGAGGAGGGGGCACTGGGGTTTGGCTGCTGTACTCGAGAGAAGCTGGACTTTGGCAAAAATCACATGTCAGGATTGAGTTGCACTAACAGAAGCTGGGGACAGAGCTGGTGGGGCAGGAATGATGTACGTTGGCTTAACTGGACCCTGGATGTTTGTGCACTTTGTCATCTGTGTTTAACTGTTTTCTCTTGCAGAACAAGTCTCTCTGGGGCAGGGGATGGTGGCTGCAGGGCTATTCGAGCAGGGCGTGCTTCAGTTCTTCTGTTTCGAAATGCTTGTGAGGAAGTGTAAGGAGTTCTTGTGGTTTGTTTTCTGCAGCCATATTAGGGTGAGGGGAGAGGATGTGCCCCTGCAGGGGTGTGCTGCTGTATGGAAGCAGTGAGTGTAGCAGGAGTGTGCTTCTGTTTGGGGTGGTGACGTGGAGAGGAGCTGTGTGTTTGTTGTGTGATTTGTGGAATGTACCTCCATGTCCATCTCTAAGCTTGGTGTGGCTTTGACAGGACCACCAAAGAGCCCAGCACAACTTGAACTGATAAAGGCATCTCAGTGGACTTGAGGGGAAGAGCTATTGAGAAAGCTTTAATGTGAAGTCCCATATATTTTGGAGAAAGAAGGGTGAAAGCAGAACTGCCTGTTTTCTTGCTCAGTGGAGTGTCAGGCTCATGAAAGCCTGCTACAGAAACGACCGACAGCTTAACCCAGCTGGTTCAGTTCCCCTGTGTTTCTCTTCCCTATATGGCTGAAGATAATACTGAACACATAAGCAGGATGTTTAGTTTATCACATCCCCTCTGCTCCTCCTGCATAAATTCTGCATCTGACATCTTAGTAGTCAGCATTCCACAGCAGTGGTTGTGACAGCCCTGCACAAGGCTTGCACGGAGCCACCAAAGAACAGAACGTGGCCTTTGCCTTCTGCTTGTACGGAATGAGATGCAGAAACAGGATTACCGAGGAACGTGCTAATGCTTTTCTCAGCAGATGCCTCAGCTGCTAAAGCAAAATGGACACTGGTAGTGGGCAAAGCAGGAGGAAGGCAGAGGAGGGGCAGCGGTGCTGGGAAGCATTTTCCATATGGCTGCTCTGGAATAATTCCATTCCTGCGTCCTTAAGCATGGAGCAAGTGAGGCTGCAGTTGTACATGTGGGAGGAAAGGTCAGTATGGCCTTTTGATCTGCCTCCCCAGTAGTGCAGTTCCACACAGGCTGCCAAGCTAATGCCTCATCTGTCTGCGTGCACTTAGCGGTCACATCTGTGAGCCCTGTCAGATTGTCCAATTACTCGGGGTCCTTTAACTCCCCCCCCCATCCCTTTTGGTGAAATAGGGCTATCAAAAAGCATGCATAAGCAGATGGTCAGCATGCAGGCAAGCTCTCTAATTAAGATGAGCCAGGTCAAAACTTAGATTTGAATTCACTTTATTCTTGCTGCAAATAATTTTATCACAAAATAAAAACCTTTTGATTTTTCTTCTGTTGCCAGCGTCCTTATTGTGTTCTGTTGCCTCTGTCCTTTTTATTTACTACTAGCCACTTGTTGAATTAAGAAGATTGTAAAATTTATCAGAGCAACAATATATTTAAGAAGAAATGTGTAAGCATGTGTGCAGCAATAAAATAGTATATTTCACTATATCTGTTCCTGCTGTGGCCTCTTTGTTACCAACTGACAACATCAGCGTGGCTTTATTTCTGAAAGGTCTCGGTGGGCTCCTTCAGCTTATTTTCCCGCACCTGGGCCAAGGGCTGGTTTCCAAGCAGTGAGGAAAGCGTGACTCTGCTCTCCTCCCTTGGTGACCTGTTTGTACAGTCCTGCCAGAACATGGGCATAAAGCACCGACTTGTTTTTACTGGCTCCTTTCTCCCAGGATTACTCTGTTTCATTAGCAGCACTGTGGCACAGGCTTGGTCAGCGTGGTGGTGGTGTGTCAGGGAGCTGGTGTTTATCTCGGAATGTTGCTCTGGGAAGCCCCCGATAGGTAAGTTGTCCCTCCCTCTCTTGTCACCCTGTGCCTCTGTCATTGCTGACTGTCCATTAAATCCAAGGATGGTGATTTCTCAGCCTCTGTGCTTAACTACTCGTGTTCAGTGTGCTCATGGAGCCTCTGAAGCATGTGTTTTCTCCAAAACCTCAAGTCTGCTGAAGTGCCTGGGCAGTCCTTCCTCTCCTCTCTGAGGACACAGATGCTTATTTTCTCTTTTGCCTTCTTGTACGTCTGGGTGGCTGCAATAGTCTTGGTGGCAATAACTGAGCTGCCTATGTGCAGCCCCTGTTGACTTCAGAGCGTGACTGGCATTCAGGGAACGAGGATCCAAGCCTGTCCCCGTGGCTCTGTGTAGGAACATGCAGCTTTCGGGGGGGATACTAATAGCATCTGAATGACTAATGCTGTTGAAGGGAGGGACTGGGCTTAGAAAAATTCAAGCACTAATCAGGCTTTTGGGACTCAATAAACAGTGCTTACAAGGAGTATCATTGTGCTGTGAGAGCCTGGAGTAAACGACGAGCCTCTTTAAGAGGCTTGAGCTGTTGACGTTGGTAGTCATGGTCAAACTGTGGGGATAGCACCTTCCCACATAACAGCTCGCAGTCAGTGTGTGTTGACAGACTCGTCTGCTCAGGGTGGCACTTGAGTTTTTCTCTCTCTTGCTGTGGGCAGCCTGGCGACGCCCGGCACAGCCTGGGGGGCTGGGTTGTGTCTGTGCTCAGCTCCCAGGGATGAACAAACCTAGCTAGGGCTGGTGATGGGAAACAAAACCTTGGCTCGGTTCTCTGCTCACAGGGGGTGGGGGTGCTGGCAGAGCAGGTTTTTGTTTTACCTTCTAAGCTAAAACAGATTGGACATAACACATTTATTAAGATGAGAGGCCACACTGGCAAACCACTTGTCAGAGTTGGGGCCTGTTTTGAATAAAGATGCTGGCTCTGCCGGGGTTGCTGCCTGCCTCGGAAGAAGTGCTGAGGGAGAGGGGCAGAGAACTCCTTTTCTAGGGTTGCAAATGGTTTCTAGGGTTTTAGGTTGGAAATCGGAGGTGGGTTATTGGCAATAACCAAGGCAGGGCTGCAGAGAGGCAGAATATTAATTCGGGGACAGCAGCCACATTTGGGTGCAGCTATGGACATGCAGACCCTCAAGGCCAGCTTCAAGCTACATGTGATCAGCATCTGGGGAAGGGGGCAGGCATACACATGCCTTTCACTTTTCCGAGTTGTGGTTAACTTTGTAAGCCGACAAGTTTGGGACAAGGTCTGAAAGGCATTTCAGGAGACTGAAGAAAGCCTTGGAAGAGGTTCAGTACCCATGCAAAGAGCTAGCTCTGGTCCCGAGGGTCTGGCTGCTCGGTTCCCAAAATAAGCTCTGAGAAATGAGTGTGAGAGCTTTCCTCTCCCTCCTCCTGTTACCGTCAGAGCAAGCTTGAGGGGAAAGGGAGCAGGATTGGAAAGTGAGATCTGCTCCCTCCTGACTGCAGCTCTCTGCCAGTGGGTCTGCTTTGCGCCCTGCTCTGTTAGTTGGTATGGCAAAACATGAGGCCATCGCTTTGGCACAGTGTGTTAGGAAAGAGGGAGGTGGGGGGAGTGCTATGGTGTGGCCAGATGCATCGGTTCATGGGCTCGGGGTAGGGTCGGGTTGGTCTTGTTAAAGAAATCCAAAGTAACTCGATGTAGCTTTCCCATGGAGGAAACTGAGCTGGTCTGTGTTGCACTGGGATGTCATTAAAACCCCAGTAAGAAAAAATGCCTCCCTCTTTATCGTATCACTTCTTTGCAAGCCAGGGTCATCCCAGTACCATTCGTACAAGGCTGCGACAGTGATGAACCATGTGAGCAAGGCTGTGCAGAGACCTGCTCTGGAGGGAAGGCAAATAAATGTGTTAGCTACTGCTCCTTGAGATATGCCTTAGGAGGTGAAGGCTGATCTTTCATATCAAGGCTAAGATGACATTATATCTCTCCCTTCTGCTCAGAAGGTTTTATTCTAACACATTCTTGGCACAGCATAGCAGAACCACCAATATTTCTATGAATTTTATTAAGCTTGCTTCCATAACGGGAGCCAGCAATCTGCTCTCTAGAACTTCCACCCCCCTCCTCCCTGGATCTAAAACTGAACTTTTATCCACGAGTTTTAAAACAAGTTTGTTGGCGGCAAGTTCAATCTCTCCCTTTCCCAAAGGCTGTCACTGAGAAGCTGAAAATGCTTCAGGCGAATTGTCCAGAAAGCTTTTTCTGCCGTGCTGCTTCTCCGGTCTGAGTGCCCGTCGGGCACAGCGTCTTCAAAGCCGTTCAAGGCGCTGGCTCTGGCCGCTCTGCTCCTGGGGTGACTGCTCCTTCCCTTCCCGGGGCCAGGGGAGATGGTGTTTCTTGTGTCCTGATTTTATGTGACCTTTTCAAATCATGCATGCAATTAAACAACAGTCTTCCAGGTCTGAAAGCACATGAGGGGAAAGTACTTCTCTTGCTCTGCCGACTGCAGTGCTGGCTGCAATAACAGGGCAGATCAGTCTTGCGTGCAAAGTTCAGCGTTTGCTGGGTATCCAGGACTTGCCAGTCATGGAAGTGCCCCCGGGCTGGGTTTTGGTGCAGAGCAGCCACAGCGTGGGATGCACACACGCTTGGCACAGGAAGAGAGGACTTGGTGTTAAAAGTGCACGGGGTGAGCCCTGGAAGCTCAGCGCCGTCGGGGCTTTTGATCAGATAACACAAGAGCTGCCCTGTGCTGTGGGCAGGCAGCTTGTTGCCATTGCTGCAGCACAAAGCCGACCCTGCAGTCCAGTGTGAGGGAAAAACTGTTTTTTTTTCTCTGAATGGGGAACCAGAGTTGTTTATTTCTAGCATGTGGATATCTCCTGCTCCAAGTTCACTGTGTTGGCCTCAGGAGAGCTTTGCTGGTGTTGCCATTGCATGGTTTTTCATCTAAATGAAGGTACAACTCTGTTACGAAGGCTGCTGACCTTCGGAAGGCTGGAAAGCCCTGCCTTTCCTGGGGCTCTGGCTCACAGCAGGGTTCACTGTGGTCTGGCAGGGGCTTGCTTGCCTTTGGTCATGGACCCTTCCTAAACTGACGCAGGGAAGGTACCACTTGTCCTTTGCACCCAAGCTGCCATTGCTTCGCCTCTGCAGTTCTCATCTCTGCGTGTTTTCTTACAAGACAAGCGTTTTCCATGCTGGACATCTTGCCCTCCCTCTGCTCCACCCCCGCCAGGCCAAACAGTTTTCTTTGCCAAGTTTCCTCTGTTTAGATATCAGCACACATCATGCGATCTATCCAAACTCTGAATTGATCTCTTAGGAATTTTTTTCATCTGAATTCCTAGAATGTCTCCCCTCTGCCACCCCCGCCAGGCCAAACAGTTTTCTTTGCCAAGTTTCCTCTGTTTAGATATCAGCACACATCATGCGATCTATCCAAACTCTGAATTGATCTCTTAGGAATTTTTTTCATCTGAATTCCTAGAATGTTTCCAGGCACAGAAGAGCTTCCTCCGGAGGGAAGGGAAATTAATCCCGTGTCCCTCCTTCCTGAGGAGTGGTGACCACGGGAAGGCCGGTTGTTTGGCTTGCTCCTGTTGGGAGGTGCGGGCTCTGCAGTGTTTGCTCATGGACGTGGCTGTTTGGTTTAATAAGGCAGTTGTTAGGAGAGCAGCAGGAAGGTGAGTGGAAGCTCCACATCAGCAGCTTCCCCATCAGATGGAGAAAGAGAGCATCCCGGACTGATAAGCTAGGAGAGCATTGCCCTGTTTCTGTGTGCGAAGGGAACTTGTTGTGCTCGTATGCGGAGAGAAGAGCAAACAGCTGCCCAAAAAACCCCACTTTTGAGAGCCTGGGGTGAGCAGGAGCAGCGGCGGCAGGAGTCAGGCTGCCAGCACGGTGCGCAGTAGCGGTGGTCTCTGATGGTACGGTAGCACCTGCATGGCCCCAGCAGCTCCATCCCCCTTTCCCTGGGATGGAGATCTGCCCGAGGCTGGGCAGGGCTGGTGGCAGCCACAGAGGTGCGAGTCCCCGCTCGCCGCCACCAGCAGCTCTGGAGTGAATTACAGCCCCGCTTCTCCTCCTCCTCTGATGGCCTATAAATCCCACGCTTAACCATTTGCCAGCAGAAAATGCAACTGAAGCACTGATGCCTTATATGCTGAGCAGATCTTCTGAATTAAAATTCCCCGCTGCTCACTGAAGCTGCAGCATTTGGCTCTTCTCCAGTGCCTGAGCCTGGCCCAGGTGATGGGCTTTGTGGTCCCAGAGGTCTGATGGAGGCACGGTCCCTGCAGCAATGTGACTGAGTGAGACACCTCTCACCCCATGCCCCAGTGGTGGGGCAGGCTGATCCTACCTACCAGCCCTGTCAGGGCTGCTGGAGAGAACTGCCCCCCCCCATGGCACTGCTCTGGCTCCTGCTTTACCATCAGCTGATCACCACCTTGCACCAACCCCAAGAGAAACCACCAGCTCTCGATGACACAAGACTGAGCACAGGCTGGGGGAAGAGAAATAGGCAAAAAGCTTCAGGGTTCCTGCAGACTCACAGGATCAGACTAGAAGCACACACTAAAACCAGAACGGCCACCTACGGCCGTGACAGCTCACCGGGCACTGGCTGGTGACACCGGGAAAACCGGTGGCACCATGGCATGCACCC